TCCTCTCTCGTTCCGTGCGAAGAGGTGAAACGGATTCCATTTGGGCATTCCAGATCGCGAATTGGATTACGGTGTTGCTCTTCCTCTTCCTGGTCCTTCGAGCGGGAGGGAACCCGATCCGAAGCCGCCAGAGGGGCTACAATCCGAGATTACAATACAAGCAAGGCTTCGACAACATCCTCCACGTCCACGACCCTTACGAGCCGGCCAACACCGCTTTATGACGCCGTCAGTTAGAATTCCCTCTTCGGGTCGCGTCGGAAAGGAATTCCCTTAAAGGGAATGGGAAAGGGATTCCCTTCAAGGGAATGAGAATCCCTTTCCTCCATCTCTCTAACCCTAATGCGAATAAAAGAGATTTTCTCGGTGCAGGTCGTTGCGGATTCCCACAGGAACGCTCTCAACCGTCTCGTCTGACACCGACTTTGCACACGATGACGCATCGACTCGTATATCGTATCACCTATCTATTACCTATGGGTATCACCCATGAGGTGATCGCGAAACTCGAAAAGCACTTTCATATCGTGACGGTCTGACGGTGTCGAATGATGTCAAAACTAAAATTTTTATAAAATTAAAACTTTCGTATCCGTTCCATGATTCCTACAGCTATTCGACTCGGAAAAAAAGTTTTTCATGCATCTTTCCTTCCCCAAAGTGATTTCACGATGCAGTCATTCCATCCGTAATAATATTCGAACGGTGGTCTTTTCTGCATTTCGTTTGAGCGACCCGAGGCGATTCTCGTTAATCGTACCTTGGAGTTTAGGTCTTTGTCCTCCTGTAAACGAGTGAATTCCAAGGAATTTCCTTTCGTGATCCCAGATCGAGAAGTGGATTTCGGCGTTGGTGTTCCTGTTCCTGGCCCTTCAGGTGACGGGGAATTCCATCCGAGGTCGTCTCCAGGACTTCAACCAGAAAAGTCGTCTCCAGAGCCAGAAAAGGCAATAGAAACCCCCTTCGTGAAGAACCCGAAATGTGGACTTTCCTCACTCACCCGTCGACGCCGATGCGTGATATCGCCCGTGATTTTTCCCTGGTTCGGTTCACGCGATTCGTTTTCTACTCTCACTAACGCATGGATGACGTTACGAGTCGGAATAAAAAGAATCCGTCTGGATCGTCGGCGTTCTTTCGTCTCGCTTCCAACCGCCTCGACGTACGGCGAGACGTTTGCGCGGAAATGCGACCGGGACGACTCGCAATGCTCGTCGGACGACAGGGTCTTTAGTGAAACCCTGCCGAATCCGGAATCCGGAATCGGGAGACACCGAAAGATCGTCCACCCTCCAGCTTTGCGTGAACGAGAGAATCGCAAGGCACGATCCGATGGCGCCTGGGGAGCGCGTGATAGCGTTGCCGTCGAAACGACGACGACATTGTCGAGTCGCTGATTATAATTTTTTAAAAACTTTCTTTAATAAACGTTTTCAAACTGAAAATAAAATTTGGATCTCGTAGCAAAACTTCGCGTGGCTTACCTTTTGTCGGCTAAACTTCTAGGTCCATCGAGGCTTCACCTCTCCACGAACGTCGAGGAGCGATCGGTCGACCGGCAGTAAGAGGGATTCCTTCGCCCTATGGGGCTGGAAACCGAGATGCGAGCCGAAGACCTTGACGAGGTCGATTCGGGCTTGCTTCCCTGGAGCAAGACCAACCGGTAAGAAGGAAAGGGCGGAACGAGAACAAGAACCGGAAAACGAAGCGTGGGGTCCGACTTCGCGGGAAAATCCTCCGATAAAAGATAACCCCGCATCGAAGAAAGCGAATCAGTCGATGAGCCGAGGGCCAGCCCGCGAGGAAGTGCTACCGTCTTTTCCTGGATCGGCCCCGGCTCCTCTCCGAAAGTCGACGTGTGTTTTCTCGAGTTTAAGACGCAGATGCGGATCGTTCTACAGCGGCGTGGGCAGTCTTCCCATCTCTGGTATAGCCGTTATACCGTCGTGATTTCAACTGTCACATTTCCTGAACTCTCGGTCCGTGACTCGTCTCGTCGGTGTTCGGTCGTGTCAAAGTTTTCGTATGGAACTTTTCGCCTGAACTTTCGACGATGGCTTCGTCATCGATAACTTTCCACTCGGCTCCTCCTTCAGCTCATCGACGCCGAACTCTTTCAGAGGTCTGTACTCACTGTCACGACCGACGCGAAGAACCGTACGCTTACTTTTACCCACTCGTCCAAAAGCCGTGAATCCCGCTTGGCTCCTGTCCTCCCCTCGAACGGAAAAACATATTTTGGTGTCGTCGCCAAATGCTCTGATTTTATTCGCTTGGCCTTGACCTCAATCGTTAACGTCGACCAGAAGGTCGTTTGACCTCGCCCCTCGTGACTCCGCTCGCTCGTCCGACCTCCATCGACACTTCTCCTTCAACTCCCTGTTCCCCTCCCGACATCCAGTTACCGATCCAGTAACTCGTCCCACCCTGTCGTCTCTCTGGTCCGTCACTCGATCGTTAAACTCGAGCAAATTGGCAGGATGATTTTTGTCGCCTCGTAAAGCCGTGCCGAGAGTCTCGAACGAGCGCGTTCCCCTCCAAGAAATCTGGATGTGATCCCTCGGGATGCTCTCCGTGATCTTTCCCGGAAAACTCGTGAGACTAACCGGCCTGTAATTACCCGGATTACTCTTGTCTCCACTCTTAAAGATCGACACGGCATTCGCTAGTTTCCAGTCTCGAGACACTTCACGCGAAAAGCTACTCTCGAACATCATTCTTAACGGTTCCTAGTCTTCCCTAGCGAGTTCCTCGATGACACGAGTCGGAATCCCATCGGGGTCGGTTACCGCGCCTGCCTGTAGCTTTCCTATCCTACTCGTGATCTCTTCCTCGGCGATCATTATATCCTCGACACGCCGAGATGGCCTCCGTCATCATCGGAACGTCATCGGATTCGCTCGTGAACACACAGGCAAAGAAATCGTTGAGGATCGTGGGGATTCCTTCGCTAAACCGCAACTACCTCACCCCTGGCGTCCTTGAGGGGCCCGATCGAATGTCCACTCCTTCCGCTGGCATACTTATGTAAAGCTCAAGGATTATTCTCAGCATTAAGGGTTTGCCGTTCCTCTACCTCCCGTTTCGCCGACCTAATTTCCCGCTTCGGTGATCTAGCTACCTTGTATTCATCGTATTCCACTCGTTCGTCTAAGCTGTGAGCTTAGACGAATCCCATTCCTGCTTCCTACATCCGATCGGTGACTTAACTTTACCTGTGAATTAGACCGGCTGTCCGAGTAATCTCTTCGACTTCTCAGGTATGCAAACTCCAATGGAACCTACCAGAACCGTCATGAAAACCTGCCACTGCTCCTGTACCGTTTGTCCTCGTGAAATTATCTTAGACTTGAGCATCGAGTGACAGATCGTCATCCATAGAGGAAACGAAATCTAATAACGCGTCAGTTTTCGTCGGTTCTTCAACGTGTTGCACAGAGAGCCTCCTGATCGTGTCTAGAAACTTCCATTCCCTCTCGCACCCCCTTGTGGCACAGGTAAATTTATGTTAGGCATATTAAAATCTCAAAAGAGCAAAAATCTTCTGCTTATTTAGGTGTATCCTTCGTTACCTGCTCAAGCAAAAATGCCATTTATTATTTATTCATCATATCAATCATATTGGTCGCAGTGGCGTAGCAAGGCGCCCCATTGGCGAAATCCTGGCTACGCCACTGATTGGTTGATATGACGAACTCGATAGGTCCTTGGACCTTGAATGAGTGGTGGATTAACGATTAACGATTTTCATTCTGACAAGTTTCTGAACGCCTATCGCTTCAGCAACCCTGAGACCCGCGCTTCTCGAGCAGCATGGCGCTTGCCATGGCCACTTCTGTAGTATCTGATACCGGGTGAATGCAAAATATCTAGCATGGCGAGGAAGAGTTAGGCCAGGCTTAACCAATGAAGAGGTGACTGTGAGACTCGATTCAGAATGTGCCTTGACTACATTTTCTCCGCCAGATGACCTAATGGCCCAATCGCAGTCACTTAGGCGTAGGTTTAATCGTAGCCATCCATATGGTAGGAAGGGTACTGTAATGCCCCCAGCTTCGCACCATCACCCACTGATCATCTGTCAGCTTTGCTTCGTGCCCTCGCCGTATCCTGTAGGCCTAGGTTTATTAGGAAAGCCTATTATTGCGCGAACGTTCGTCCACTCTTCCTGGTATTATACATAGAGCGCGCACCTCATTGAATACATTGGTAGTGCATTGAATGTCCATTGAATAGTCCAAAGTCTATTGATTAGTGATCCAGTGATCACATTATACAATCTCGATTACCTCTCAAGAGGGAGTACTGGGCCCTCTGTCAAATAATCGGTTCAACATTGGGCTACGTTAAAAAAAAGAAACATTACTTTCTCAAATTGTATGCCCTATGAAGGGAAAAAAACATTTTCCCTACATTTGGTTTGCTCTGAGATCTTCAAATGTGAAGGTGAAAGCTTTGACCAAGAGTGAAAAGGAGAGAAGGAGATGTTGTAGTGCCTTAATGAGATGGGCAGAGGAAGGGACTCAAATAAAAACGAGGAGTCCTCTAGTGCTTGCTTCACAAACATGCTGTTTGATATTGTAATCTGCCACTTATAATGAACAATTTTTACCTGGCCCAAAGTGATCATAATGAGGACTCTTGTATATGACTTGTATACCCCATCCACCCAGAAACATGTGCCCACCTTTACACATTTTCCATTCCTCCTTGTGATCCTCTCCTGCCAACATTCTTGCATGCACATGCACATCCATTCTTTCAGAATCTATCAATTTGACATATCTCCCTGAAATTGGGGCCCCTTTTTGGCTTTGGATTGCTAGTGGCTGATGTGAAGTAAAACAGAGTCCTGCACAAGATTCGTTGTTCCTATGCACCCATAGCTATGCAGCTTTGCAGGCAAGGCCCTCGTCCCATGTGCCACTGTTCTTACACCAGAATAAAATTTTTTTCATACTTTCTAAAAGTCATTTCCATCTAGCATTCAGGGCATAGATATGGTCAGTATGTAATCCTTGCCCTCCTGCTCCCTCCACTTTCAGCTTTACTTGATAACTGGAGAAAGAGGATTGAACCCAGAGGTATTTTGATAAATCAATGTTGTTCTGGTTGGTAATTTTTCAGGGCAAGAACATGTTGCACAGTGATTCATATTTAGACCTTCTTTTTATAGGTAACATTGCAATCACAAAAATAAAGCAGCTTTGTCTCTATTCTTGGCAACAAAAATTCTGAGATTCTTTGTCTCATACAGGTCATAGTTTCCATGTGGGAATTCACCATTGCCTACTCACTTCATTTTGTATGCCTACTACCTTGCTGGCTTTGTTGAGCTTGAACCTGTTTGAAGCTACACCATTTGCCCATTTCCTTTCCTTTTTAGTTTGTATTTTCAGGGTATTTTGTGTGATTCAGAATTACCTCAATACCTTGTTTCAATTACCTCAGAGTACAAAAGAAATGGAAGGATTATGAAACAGCTATGAGGATGAAGGTTGAATGATGAGGATGATAATCTTATGTCTTGTTTCCATGACTTAGGGATCTCTAAAGATTGTGACAGGAAGTGTGAGTCACTTTGCTGAAGCTGATATATTGGATACACCCAATATCATCCAATACTGATAACTGATTAAATATTGCATCTCCAACTGAAATGTTCATTTCTGGTTTCCTTGCAGATATAGCAGAAGTCCCAAAAATGAGTTATTGTAGAATATGGACCCCATTCAAAGAACTTTTTGAAGCAGTGGACAATGTAGTGTACAAGCATGATGCCTTCTCAATTCCTGATCTGGAAAGCTGTGTGCGTAAGCATCGTTCAGCACTATTCTCACCCCTCCAGAATCCGGTGAGGAGCATGAGTCTACCCTCTCAATGTAGGATAGCCTAAGATTAAAAGTGTGCTTGAAAGCTAAGAAAAAATATTGAAAGGAAATCTCAGAAGAAAATATGACCTTTTTGCCTTTAGGTGACATATTCTGTTTTCCCCTTCTATAATCCCTATTCAGAGGACAAATTTATTAAATCATAAGTTGCTTTGAATTCCCACTAAAAAATAAAAAAAATCCACCCTCATTTCTGTGTTGCCTAAGACTGTAAACAATAATCTTTTCAAGTACATGGAGATGAGTGCTGATGATGAGTGCTGATGGCCCTTCATTTATGGTTTTCCTGAGAGGTTGGGTGTGAGGTAAATGCACAAGGGTGCATTTTTGGTCAGCATCATCAGTAGAGTATTCAGATAATTGCCGCTAGTGACATACATAAATAGCATAACTATGTCTGATTTAGGGCAAAGATGCATCTGAACGAGAACGGGTGAGAAAAGCTGCCCATGAGTCAATCATCCTTGCTAAGTCTTCAGTTCCAGTTCAGCTGCCTGAAATTCTCATTGAAGAGGCTCTCATCTTGTCTGATATGTACAACCTCAGTGAGATTGCAGCTGTAGAACTCCTGTTGCTTGGTGAGTGAAGTGAAAAGCAAATTGAACCTTTGGAAAACTCTTGTTTTATTTGACAGATGCTATCATCCCCTTTTCCTTAGGAGAAAGTGAGATGGTGAACTTTCCAAATCTACCTCGGGGGTTAGTGGCTGTGCTTCTGTATTATGATGGTCGGAGGGACCTGGCCCGAGCATTGAAAGCCCTTGTGCAGGGGTGTCAAGGGAGGACTTGGACCTTGGGACTCTCTGCTGACCTTGCTGCCCTCTTGGGGTCTTATGTTGATGAACTTGTTCAGGAGGGACTCGTGTCAAAGATTCTGAGTTAGTTCCAGTCATTGCTTCCTATTAAAAAAAAAAATGAAATTTTGGTAAATAAGATTAATTTAACAAAATGAGTTGCATTTGAAGAACTGGGACTAGTTGAAATTTCATTGAATTGTGCCCTTCCCTCTTCTTTTGTCAGGAATATAAGTTTTAGAAATCCAAGGAAAGTAATGTACCTTTTAGTCATCAAAGTCCTAGAATGTAATCAGGTGGATGATGAACTGATATCATTTACCTTTGGTAAGAAATTCCTGTATTTATTCTATTCTAAAACTATTATTTTGTTGTTTTATTTTCAATTATAAAATTTTGAGGATTGCTTTAGAATGCTTGGATCAAATGACACCTATGATTGCCTGCAATCATTGTAATTTAAGCATTTAAAAAAAAGGAAAATAATTGTTTTAGAATCAAATTAACATTTTAACAAACAAATTAACATCCAGGTCTCATTCTGTCTTTATCCAAAGATGCCTTGCCTCATTTTGTCCTCAGAGTTGTTGAAGGAAATGGACATGGAGAAGGAAATGGGGAAACTGGGAGAGAATCGAGCCCTTGGTGACAGGAGACATAGGCATCAGGTGATGAAAATGTACCAGGAAACTCAGCTTGCCCTTGCCCAGACCATCTTCTGCCTGGCTGCCCAGAAGGGTCTTTCTCGTTCCGACTTATCCAGGTTTGCTGTCAGGACCATTAATTTAAATTAGCCAATGTCACCTTATCATTCATCTGACAAATCAATGCTTATGCTCTATACATTTATACATTTTATTAGAAAATCATTAGCTTGATACAATTTTTGAAAAAAAAGTCAAATTTTCATTACCTGTTATTGCACATCAAGTCATAATAATATGAACCCATTCATTTAATGATGATTTCTTCCTCAGTGACATTTTTTAGCTAATGGACAAATGCAATAGGAGCATATTTTCATCTTAGTGGACCTTATCATTAGGTTAGCATTAGTGGAGCTAGCTACAGCTCTTGCTAACTGTAAACATTTTATTGAACTTCAACTTCATAATCTTCCTATCACTTATCATCTGATTTCAATCTTCAAAGCGGGCAGACAAGAGTTGCTGGTCCTCCGCAATGAATGTCAGTTTTCTGTTGAAAGAGACATCATTGGTCCAGGTGGATAATTATAATATCCAGAAGAACTTAATTTTGTTCATTGATTATCTTTTTCTTGGAATTTCAGTAACCTTTAATGTGTTTAGTACTTAAAATAAAAAGATTTTTGAAGGGAATGGAAGGTTGAGAAGGAAAGCATCAAAGTATCTTGTTAGAGGCTTGGATGAGGCTAGAAATTAGCAGAAGGAAGTTTCCCTTGCATGTCATCCACATATATTTTTATTACTTTCTTTATTTTTATCTGTTTTGATGGGGTGGACTTCATTGGAAATGACTGGAATCCTCTCACAAGCCAATTTACCTTGGTCAGCAAATCCTCACTGTGAATGAGAGAGACACTCAACCCCTACCCACCAATTCCTGTTGCTTTCTTTCTTGCCAGACAAGATCACTCGTTCCCATTCGTCTCATTGCCCTTCCACTGGATGCTTGACCCCCAATCTGACTGGATTGGATATCCTGCAGAGTGGCTGAATAGATGGAATAGAATAGGTCGAATAAATTCTTACAGGGTGAATACTAGAGAGCAACATGATATCTATTACATCACTGCTTGATACCATTGTTATAACTATGTCCTTCTGGCGATTTATTATGACTCATAGCCTATACCATAAAAATTGACCAAATGTTGAAAAAATTCTAATCTGAGATGATAGACTGTATAAACAGCTCTGACAGGGAATGTACTAACTTCATTGCCCTTTTGGAATGAACGTATGGCCTTTGTTGTGCCTTCATTCTTCATGAGTCCTCCAAGAGTGCAGGCAAAATATGCTCTGTAGATGAATTGAATAGTGATTCAAGGTATGGTGATATAGGCTTTAGACAGAGACTATTATATAAGTTAGGGAGCCTTTATATAGGGTGGCCTGCCTGAAAGTATGCCTATGTCTTAGTGTCAGTGAACTCATGCGCAAACAGTGGCACTCGGTGTGATGCTTGTGAGTGCCTGAATATGTTGGAATCTGTGCACTCCTGCCATGGTCTTGTCATGTGCTACATGTGGACAATAGTGTGTAATAGTGCAAAATCTATATTTTATGTTATGCTAATAAAGATATGTATATGCTGGTATTGATGGGTCTATTTTCAGGTGGGCCACCATGTACAAGCAGGGATTGATTGTGGAAGTTTTAATCAGGCAAAGATACACTAGTGTAATGCCCAATGCTCATCTTATTGCTGGAGAGATTTGCAATATGATTATTTAAATACTTTTGATGATTGTCATTTGATTATCAGAAGACAAGCTAAGCTTAACATGAATTAAGAATTAGAACTTTCAGATCTTGCTCAGACCTGTCCCTACTAAGTTCTCAAATACATGACTAGTCATATTGCCATCATTTGCAGGCTACTTGAGAGCCAGAATAGAGTGCATCATCTAATATTGTATGTCAATAGGGTGTTAATTACATACTACTACAGTGTATCCATCATTTATCCATGAATATGATCAACTGTGCTGACTGTCAGTTTGTTGGTACTGTTGCTTGCATTAGGGCAAGTTTTGAGATATTGGGGCTAAATTTTTACCAAAGAGTTATAGGTATAGGCATCACAGAAGCCAAAACTCACCCACTGACATGATCTTAAATGGGTGTCAGAGCAGCTAGTGGGAAAGCCACAAGTTCACAATTCTTCATGTGTTGTTGACAAGCACATCCTGTGTCAACTTGCATTATGAATATACCCTGTGTCACATTTGAATGAAAGTTAAGTTCACTTTACTTCTCTGGGGTTGCTACAGAGCTGGATTCTCTTCTGTCCACATTCAGATCAGTGCTGCTATAGTAGGACTTCATGATGAAGCTTTGCTGCATGAAAAGACACATTAGACACTGCTATACCTGGCTGTTTAACACGTTGGCGACAATGCGTCCTGATGCCAGGATGCAGATTTTTTTTCAATGAATACCCTCTGNCCATGCGTCCTGATGGCAGGACGCATTTTTTGACAAAAAAAATGCGCGTGGTTCCACGCGGCGGACAAGCAAAAATAGGCTGGTTGTCAACGTGTTAAGATGGAATTGATGATAACCATGCAAAAAAGTAACCTTCCAAAAATTCTATATATTTGTGAAATATATAAAATATTATTATTCACTAATAGTGACAAAAGTGCTTTCTAGATTGTCAAGTGTTATGCTACCATTCAGCTGCCCTGCTCACCCTATAGCCCTTCTATAATTGTTTTTTAAATTTCTCACAGGCTGCTATCACACCTGTCAAAGCAGAGTGGGATGAGAAGCCCAGATGCAAGTATGGATGAAGTCCTTTGTGCTCTATTCATGGCTGCCCTCTATAGCCTTGATCTCTCTCTCCTCACCACTGAACTGGATGATAGTGAGACATTCCATCTCTCAAATTTATATTTATTGTTACTAACTGAGTTGCTACTTGTTCTGATAGCATCTCCATAGGAAGTATTTGCCTGCCAACCTTTGCAAGCTATTGTTCAAATTAATGGTAATGCCAGAAATTCAGCTAAAAGGAGAGAACACTTCTTGTTTCAGTTGAAGTTCTTGTCATTACTCATTAATTGCTTGAACTGGATAAGTAATTTTAAAAGAGTTTATGACACTTAACTTCTCATTTGCATGTATGTATAATTTTCTGGACTACTTGTACAATACTGCTTATTGTAATAGGCTCTGGTACAATATGATGAATGCATTTGTTCCTAATTTTTTTTTCAGGCACACTGGTGAACATTCCTCTGTTAGCTGACAAGGACATGATAGGAGAGATTCATGACCAACTGAGTTCCACAACAGAAGCATGGGAGAGTGAGGGGCTTCAAGGTGTGATTCAGTTGGCTTGGTCCATTGCTCTCAGACACCTCTCCCAGTCTCCATTTGGACAAGGTCTTTCTCTCCCTTTTCCAGCAGCATATTTTGGCTTGTAAGGCAAGAGAGATGCAAGCCAGTGGAGAGGGGTGCTTAGTCTAGATAGATGTCTTGCAAATATGGTTTTAGTACCTGCATCTGATCCATATCCTCATGCTTATTATCCATATCTACACAGTGCAGGAACACTCTTGTGGCTTGATGAGGATCCACATTTTTTAATCATCATATCTGTCTTTTTATTGCATTTTCCTCTTGCTCTTTTGTTTGCCGTTTCATCTGCAGATGTTGTATCCTCAAGTATATTGTTATTCCAGAAAGTGACACACTTGAATACTTTTATGTTTGGAAGCAAGCTTAGGCTTCTTTGAAATCAATGATGATGCAGCTGGTTTTGCTTGCCAAAGTCACTTATTGCCCTGAGGCTTCAGCAATTTGTTGGGCTTTTACACAAACAACAGTCTACTAGTGCCATATTCACCTTTTATGGATTTCATTAGGTTTCACCTTTAACTAATTTTGCAAAATAAGATAATATGGAAAAAACATTACATATGGTATTTTCAACTGCATTAACCCTAGAAGTAGCAAGTTTAAATCCTGTGATGGGTGAACTGTCTATTGATCAGCAGTTGCTGCTTTTAAGGTTAAAAGACTTTTCTTGGGGAAAAATATTTTATGCATATATTATCCCTTGTCATGCTAAGTAGACAGCATCTGTCTCCATTTATTTTCTTTCAAATTGCATATCTCCAAATCCCCCAACCTTTTTAGCCAAGGCCATATTGAAATTAGTTTGCCTCAGGAGCTGGAGACAGACAATGATGACTTTTCTCTAGATTTTCTCTACTTTTCAAAACTTGTGAAGACTGTTCTGATGTGGAAGACAGGCTGGATTCAGTCCATGGGCTGTAGGTTGCAGACCCTTGCTCCAGTAGTTTCACATCAATAAAATGCCCCCATTCATTGTGCAAGGTTGAACACCTGCATACCATGTGTTTGTAGTGAACAATAGAACTTTGTGTCATAATCCTGGAAATATGAGCTTTGTTTCAAGGCAGTAGCCACTTGTGGTCCAGAAAGCCTGTGTGTGTAGTATCATGATTTGAGTGCTGTGAATTTTTTGTTTATTTTCTTCTTTTGCATGTGTTTTTCTGTGCATATGGTTTTGCCCCATCAAAAATGGCTTGTTTGACTGAGAAACTTATCAGTTGTAGTGAAGAATTACAGACTATGGCCTGTATTGCCGTATTTCAACTTGCATCGCAGCATTAGTAACATTCAATTTAAAAAACTGCCTTTTTTGCTATTTTATGAATTGAATTGGAATTGCTGGGTGGTATGTGGTATGTTTAAATCGCACAACAGTTATACAGCGTGTTTCTGTATAAAGTTTGGATTTGTTTTTCGAATAACTTCTTGTACAGCACTGCTTCAGTTTGTTGAGGTCTCATTCAAAAGAGCAGGGTTTCCTATTTTATCTGTGCTTTGAACTTTACCAATTCATACAACAGTATGAATACAGATATGGTAGTTGGCATAAACATCACTTTTTTCCATGTTTTTTGAGAAATTTCGAAAATTTTATAATTTTGAATGCAACAAAAGCAGTTGACAGCACGAATGCAAAGTTCAACACATCCTCCATTATTTTTTATAAAATTGTGCAGACTTTGACAGTAGGAAGCAAGGGTGTTCTCATGCATATTTAGTGTGATCTCTGCAAAGACAATGACCATTGACAATGTGTTGTTTGAGCTCATCCAGATCGCTGATGTTGGCAATGTAAACATTGCTTTTCACGAAGCCCCATGAGAAGAAATTTTTCTGCTGTTAAATCCATGATCGTGGAGGTCACATTTCAGCTACAAACAGGCAACAAAACATGACAGAAAGGGTGGTCAGATACGATGTGTTACAGTGGCGCATAACAAAATGATTGGTGTGGGCGCCAACAGAGGCTTCTCAGCGCTCACTGCATCAATTGATAAAAGTTGAAATATGCATTAAATGGGAAATCCTATTCTTTCCAATGAGATCTCATTGAGCTAAAATGGTGCAATACAAAAAAAGTTATTCAAAAAACAAATCTGGGCTTCATGTAGAAACACCCTGTATTACTCTGGTGTTGATTTACAATATGTCTAAAAAGTGTTCACATGTGTTCAAGGTGTGGTCAAGAGGTAGTGATCACTGCAGCACTTCATCTTTCCAGGAGAAGCATTGCTAAGTGCTTTAATAACTATGTTTAATCTAAATTTGTGTGAAATTTCAGCTTTCCATGTAAAAGTCATTGCATTTTTAACCCATAAATGCAAGCATGCTACCAGCCTCCAGAAGAAGTTTTGAGAACTCTATGAAGTGTTTCTCCTTCCAGCAAGTGTAACTTCCAAGTGGGTGCAACAATATTGAGATGGATGCAAATCTGAAATTTCACAAAGGTATAGAAAAAACATTGTTGATGAAGCACACACCATTACAGCATTGTTTCTTGAAAGATGAAGGAGCAGTACCACAGCGATTACTACTTTTTGACCACAACCCATATTTTAAATACTACCAATTTCATACTACCACTTGTCCACTTGTACCATTGTCACTCTGTGACAAGAACTTGGCACAACATTGGTACCAGAATGATGGTGTCAATTCCAATTTATTTTGGATATTGATATTTTCTGTGGTGTCCCATTTTAGGTTATGATGGATATTTGGAAGAAGATGAAGCCATATTCAGTATGGCATTGGATGGGAGGCCATTCTTTTTCCTGTCTCACTGTGTTCTCAATAATTCAGAGTTCTACCAAGAAGTAGGTAGCATTATCCTTTTTTTTTTTAATTGAGGCAAAAAAATGTGTTAGAAGTAGCTGTGTGATTCATATATTGGTTCTGTCTTTGGTAGGAGTTCTATGTTCGACGTCTCCATGGCCTCCTGGCTGAATTCCTGTGTTCCATGCCTTTGAAAGTGAAGGAGCTACGAAACCGAGCTGATGAAATTGCTCGCATTGAGGCAGCCCGTGCCCATGATTGTACCCCTTCGCCCCTCAACCACCCTAGACATTTTCAGGTGTGAAGTGGATATATGAGGATTGTCTTTATTTCTGTTTTTATTATTATTATTATTATTCCAATATGTGTTCTTTTTTTCCCCTTGGATCTATTGGTGCTTTTTTGGAAATTATATTTAAAAATGTGTTCATCTTTCTTTTTTTCCTAGGAACTCATGGTGCTTGTGGTGAAATTATATTCAAAGGATCCATTGAAGTTGGAGCTGCAGGAAGAATACTGGGGTCCTATGCAGCCAGAGGGTACATGTGACAGACATCAACATGTCTCCTCTCGTCAGGTGAGTTTTTGTTTACTGTGTAGCCAAGAGCCATACAGAGTAGCTCTGTCCCAGGGTCAGGGCAAATGCATGTGTTAGGCCTACCTAGAGCACTCACAAGGAGTGGGTGGAAGGTAGTGAAGAGAAGGAAACAAAGGAGAGGGGGGGGTGGGAGTAAGTCTACAGCATCCTGGCTGACTTATCCTGGCTGTTCAAATTAAGTGCAAAAGAGTTTAAAAGAGAGACAGAAAGGCAGTGCTGATCCAGTTCATATCCATCCTGTCAATGACAGTGAAGCCTCCTCTCAGAGGAGACTTTCCTGCTTCCCTGTTATTGACCTATGTATGTGTACCTCTCCATCACCTCCCATTTCCAATTGAATATAACCCCTTACTGAGGAAGGAATTCATATTACTCTGGGTCTTGTTTTAGATCGCCCTGGTGAAATTTGTCAGACTTGCTGGGGACCTGGTGCCACCTGCATTGTTTGTGTCATATGTTGATATGCTTGCCAGCCTGGCTGCATCTCCTAAGGCAGCTCCTAAGGCCTTCCAGCTCCTTAAGCTCAATTCCTTTGGCCAAGGAGGCTCTAAGATCTCCTGGGATCATTTCTTCTGGTCACTTACTCAGTGAGTCTTTTATTTCACCCTTATAATTTTTTTACTGATCATTCTCATCAGAATGGGAGCTATTTCTTTTAAATGCAGGTACTATCACAGCCTAAGGCATGAGGAAAGTATTGGGACAATGACAGCCTTGGTGCCCGGTATGGGGCCAAGGGCAGCTGCACCTACACCTGCACCTACTCCTTCCAAAGGCATCAGTCCTCAGGAAGTGGCAGGCCTTCAGGCTGTACTCCGTCTTGTCACTGCCATTGCAGGTCTGTCTTGTTGAGTGCCCTATCCCTCATAAGATTCATACTGGAAGGAATGTTGACAGTTGATTTGTAATGTTTTTGACACAGGCAGCAGTGAGAGCCTGAGATTGGCCCTGTATGAACATCCCAGTTGGGCCCCTGTGGTGGTGATGATGGGGCTCATCACGTGTCCCATCCCTATTGCATTGAAGGCTGAGCTGTTGACTTGCTTGCAGGCATTTGCAGCTTCCCCTGAGATTGCTCCCATTATATGGCAGGGGATTTCTGGAGCTGGCCTCCTGCAAGAGAATATCAGTGCCTTCTCTGCTTCCAAGGGCATTGCTGTGAGTTCCATCCCAAGGATTTCTAGCAATATTTATTAGTGGTGGAAAAAATGCTTTAAGTAGGTAATACAGTAAGGCTTTTTCCTGAATTTCTCATCAGTATTGATGTGTTAAATGCATTTTTAGTGCATTGAAGTTTTCATGTTTTTTAAGATTTTGAGGATACCATCCCATACATTTTTTTCCCTCGCATATTGTAATGGATTCAGTAGTGAGGTGCTTCTCAGTTTATCTGTGAAATAGACAGGCATGAGACATGCACTGACTTGTCTGGTGTGCAGATGGAGCTAGAGGAGATAGAGACTCGAGGGGAGGAGTACCCAATGACAAGGGCTTTCTTGGGTCTCCTGTCCATGCTCATGGAATCTGGTCCCTTGCCTACCAGTTTTCCAGCAGTTATTCCACCATTCCTCCACTTTCTCATCAACTCAGTTTTCCTTAAACACCAAGCCAGGTCCTACCGAAATGCCATGGAGAAGGTATGTCTTGCTTGTAAATGCTCCTTTGTCTTCCATTTTTTGAGTGTTCTTTCTGGTCAGTGTTGCACAATTCTTCCCTGTAATATGAGTGGCATTGCAGTGGGAGGTGGGATCCCTGTGCCTGGAGATCCTGGAGAAGAGTCTTTCAGTGTATGAGGCGACTAAGGCAGACTTTGCACCCTTAGCTGCCCCTCCTCCTGGCTTCCACATCCTTCAGCTTCTCCTCAAGGATTCTCAACTCCTTCAAATGGTCAGACTGCCTTGTCATTGTCAGCTATGAATGCAGCCTACTAGAGAGGACAGTATCTAGATGCCTTTCCTAATTGATCTATGCTGTGACTGCATCGCTGCAAAATTACTTTACCATTTCTAGTGAAAAAAGTGATGTCCAAGTAAAAATCACTTCTTAAAGAGAGTATAGCTCAATGTTCCTTTGGAGGCCTCACTTCTGCAGGCAATTCTTACTCCTTGAAGTCTTCTTTCCTTGCTTTTGTCTACAAAATTCCACACTATTCTTACTGTTACATGATGAAGGGTTTTAGACTTATTCTGAATCTGTAACTTCGAGCATATTTCTATTCATGCATGTAATTAGGTTTGATCTCTTTTCATTTAATGTTGACCCATATTTGTTCTATGTAGGTGGTGAATGTTATATGTCAGGGGAGAGAGGAATATGAGCAGCGGCACATGAAGGGGAATGCCATTGAGAAAGCCATGCTGCTTGGCCTATGTCTCCTGAGCACTGCTCTGGAGAAACAAGAGGCATTCCTGTTGCTTGAGAGGGATAATCGATGTGCTTTTGTTGCTATCCCTCTCCAGAAGCTCCTCATCTCCATCCAACCCAAGGCAGAGCTCATTTATGTCCTTCCTAAGTGAGTTTCTTCCTTTTTTAGAATTTTTTTTAAGGGCAACACATGACTCCAGCCAACTAAATTAAGCAAAGCTTTAATCTTGAGTAGTCACTGAAGGAATACTATGTACTGTGTAGTCAGTGGGAGTGAGCAGAAGGCAAAGTAAAATCCCCAGTCTGTTTCTGAAGTTGGGGGAAGAGTGGTGATTGGGAGGGGTAAAAGCAAACAGAAAGCAATGCAGTCATTTACTAGGATGGAGTCTTGAACCATTTGGGAACACAGAAAGTTTCTGGTCTGGCCTCTACTGTAAATTAAGGGCTAGGGAGGATTTTTTGTTGGGGTGAGAGTAAATATCTATACTTCTCCAAACCACTGTTGTCAAGTTACATTTGACTTCTTCCACTTTAAAGTTGAGGAACTATTTCCACCTCCTGATATTAACCCTCCTAGTGCCACATTTTTCAACAAAGGAAGTTCAAAATGTCCTTTGCTGAAATGAAAACATAACATTTTACTAAATATGCCCAACACTGCCCCTGTCAGTCCTGTCAGGAACCAGCGGCAAAAAAAAATTTGTGACTGAAATATTGGCTGTGGCAGTTTTCACACAACCAGGGTGGGGCCTAAATATCAACCTATGGCACTAAGAGGATTAAAATACAAACTTCAAACTACCTTATCTTGAAATTGGAAGGATGAATTGAATTGGTGTGGGAAAAAAGTGCAAGATCCTGCTTTTGATGTTGTTGATCTTAGTGTCTTAGATATTCTTGTTCATTTAATCTCATTGCCAAGAAATAGAGAAGTTCTGATTTTTATATTAACCCCTTAACTGGGAACTTTGGTTTGCAAAAGATGGATCTGTGATGGGACCTTTTTTCTCTGGTTTTTTGCTTGCTAGACCCTAATGACTTTAATTAAGCAT